AAAAAAATAAAAAATATGAAGGTGGATATAATTGACTTTATTATAATAATTAAGAATAAAATAGAAAATCAAATTTTTTTCGCAAATGCTAATATTTATGAAGTATAGATTAAAAGACCAAATGGCTAGAATTACATATATACAAAATTAAAAGGGCCATGAGAACTGTTTGGCCTCTTAAGATAATAATGTAGGGGGAAATACATTTTCAAGGTGTCCCATTCATTCGACAACAACATAAGTTGTTGTTGGACATACTTCGAACTTTCTTCTGCAGCTAAGAGCTTGCCACTTCCATATTGGTGATTGGCTAGCAGTTCTTTAGTCTTCCAAAGTAAAGTCTCCCTCTCTTGTCTGATTCTTGTTCTATCCTCATTGACCTTCAACAATCTTTCCTTGAGCCTTAATTCTTCCTGCAACAAGATAATGTCTCCTTGTCTTGACTTGTCCTCATTTTCTTTATTCGAGATCAATTGAGGGGCAAATTTTTTCGCAAAATCAATGAAGCTCATTTTGATATTGACTTCATCTTGAAAGTAGTGAGCTTGCGAGATCTTGGTTTAAAGAAGAGTACTCATGTATGCCACTTAATGTTGTTGCTGATTTGCGAAATAAGCAATGGAGAAACTAGATATCTTGGCTATGCAGGAGACCACAATAGAAGGGTCATCTTGGATAAATTGGTCAAAGGGAAGTTTAAGAAATTTGAAGAAGTGTGAGAACTCTTGTTTTAAAGATATTTCAATAGGATGGATATGTTGGAAGAAGACACAGAGTCGACTGTTTTTACAAATTCATCTGCCTTATGATAAATAGTCTCAATATCAGAATTTGAAATTAAAATGTGAGAGGTAGATTCAGGCATTGACTACAAAGAAAAGAAGAAAACTGATTAAGAAGAGCAAAAGAATAACATAAACAATTGAAGTAGAAGAAGGTTACCTGATTCACAGAAAAAGTAGATGGAAAAGACTTCTTCAACTGAACTGTCTGGCCATCAGGATTGACTAGAGGGCTAGTGACAGGAAGTGGAATAGTGGAATCTTCACGAGTAGCCTCAGGAATAGAGATTGTTTCAGTAGGAAGATCCTACTGAGGAGTTGCAGAATGACCTTCAAGAGATAGAGCATGTAATGACTCAAAATAATGACAACTACTATGGCCATCATTGTGATATCTTCTTGATTCTCTAGAACAATTTCATCTTCTTGCCCTGAAGTAGTTGAGGAAGAATGTTCAAAGTTACTATGCTCTAATCAGTTTCTTGTTTCTTCTCTGAAAGAGGAGACATTGATATTAAACAAAAAGGAAGGGTAAGAAATAGGAAATTATGTTTTTCTTTTCACCTTTGCAGCCACTTTAAACTGTTTGCCAGATTGTTTGACTATGGGGATAAGTTTAAAAATCAACACATCGCCATTGTCAGTTGGAGAAGGGATCACTCCTTCACTTTTTTTTTTTTAAAAATGGAATCAAATGTCAGTGGCAGTGGAGCTTTCTCCAGAGCGGTCATTTCTTCTGGTTTATTTAAAGAAATATGAGCATTTGTTTTCTTATAAAGGTGAGGAGTTTCTTTAGTCTCCTACTCATCTATGGCAAGTACTATTGGCACATCAGTAGTTGTCTCGGAGGATTTGACCATTTTTTAAGAATGAACAGTAGCATCGTGGGCATCAATGGCAGACTGCATTAGTTTTAGAGTAGAACCTCTTCGTTTTTTCTTCTTTGGCTCCTTAATTAAAATAGTTTTATCCTTCCTTGAATTGTTAGGGGTAGAGGGGACAATAACAGGTGCTTCAACTTGTTTTATCTTTCTACTTGAAGGAGTCTCGTTTGTCTATCAATTGTCAAAACACAACCTAGATACATACTCATCTATGGAGTAACATAAAATTAAGGTTGAGATATTTTGCCACCATTCTAAATGGAAGGAAGACTGTAATGGATTGGAGGAAAAATGAGAAAAGTGAAAGGATTCTAGAAAATTCTCATAAGCCTAAGAAATTTGGTGGACTAGGGCATCTAACTTTATTTTTGCCCCCTCACTTGTAGGTTCATTGGTGGAAGGATTCATGTAGGGGAAAGAGATGTTTTGGGCCAAGCCGAATTGTCTGGCAAGCTAACCGGGGTTGTAACTTTCATAGCTATGACTAGAAAATTTAGAGGCAGATATAAAATTGTCTACATGGAGATAATGAGGTAGCAAAATACTACCCCCCAAAGGATACACTACAACTCTATGGCTTCTTTACAGGCAGTGTTTGGATCAACAAAAAATAACTCTTTGAAAGAAGAAGAATAGAGAAGTCTAGAAAAAGGAGTATACAAAGAACCATGTCTTTCTTTGTTAAGATTGAAGAAAGTTTGAAATAAAGATAAAAAAAATATTCTTTGAAAATAAGGCTGAAAATGTTAAGAATCGATGTGCATAGTTTCAAGGTTGACCCTTGAGATTAGATAAGACTCAATAGGCTTGGGTTCTAATCGAGGCGCGTTAATAATTGCTAGTTGAAAACTATTTCCAAAACACCCTCATAGGCTTGGGTTCACCCCTGGCCTTTGAGAATTTTGGAAAGGCTCCCTCTAACCCAGGGTAAAGAAAAAAAAAAGGTAAAGACTCAATAGGCCAAATTTCAAGAAAATATGCATAAAGCCAAGCATAAGAAATTCAAAAATGGGCCCTACAAATGACAGTGATTCTATTTTTTGTAAGATTGAAAAGAACCCTGTAAAATTCTCCAAGACCAAAAAGGGCCAAGGCAAACTTCTTTTTGTTGGCTAGATGAATAGCCATTCCAAGGTATTCTTTGGTTACCTTAAAACCAAGAACACAAAAGACTAATCACTAGAGCCAATGAAGAAGAAATGCTACCTGTTCTTCTAACGAGGGTTTAGGAGATTTGGAAGCAAAAATGTGGTTAATTAGATCATTACATCCTATATTGGAAGGGAGAGTAATGAAGGAATGATCGGTATTAGTGGAGATACAAGCATTTACCTCCATACCCGTCGATAGAAGTCCCGTTAGATGAACAATGTCAAGAATTGTTGGAGACATCATGCCAATATGAAGAAACATGACATTGCATGATTGGAACAAAAAAACATGCGACGACACCAATTCATGTGCATTTCACAAGTGGAGAGCTTAATCATCTCAAAGATACCTAAGTGCCTCCATTGAAAAGAGAAGTGAGGTTCTAACCTATCAATACAATCATCCCATCGCTGATCAGGATTTAACCATGAGCGAAGAAGGTTGGTTCCATGGTTCCAAGATTTTCATAAGAGTTGTGTTTGGTTCAGCATTAGGGTTTCTCCCTCATGAATAGGATAGAAGTTAGAGCAATCATCGTAGATATATGATTTGAAACAAGGACCAAGAGCAACATTTCCACTAGAATTAGGGATGAGAATCAAAATCTTGTGGTCTACTAAGTCATGAGGCATTTGTTTGATTTCAGTAGGAAATCTAGGGAAGAAAGGAATGTCAGATGAAGATGGAATGGTTTGCTTATTTGGAGCCATTTTGAGTGTGGAGGAGAGGAATGGCCAGATGCAAAGGAAGATAGAAAGCAAGAAGCAACGAAGCAAAGTTAAATGAATCGTACAACCGCCAATTCCTTAAATAGGTGTTTGGAGAAGCAACGGTCGTGATAGTTCATTTATTCGGGTTATTGATTAAGCCCGATTAAATGAAGGGGGCATTGTTTGGACAAAAAATATAAAATCCTGTAAATATTCAATGTATTAACACCTGACATTCCAGATGCACGGAGGAAGTGCCACGTGGTAAAATTTAAAGAAAGATGAGAGATAATTAGCTACAACCATATTTAAGAAAGAAGAAGTAACCAACTAGGAATTACCAGTCAGTAGCCGTCAACAAGAGCAAACCTATCGAAGATAATGCCCTGTACATCAAGAAGCAATATATGTGTTTGCAAGTAAGTATTGCTTGGATGCATTGCCTTATTGGGGCAGATCAAATCATAACCCCAAATGAATATGCAAAAACACATCCAGTACGCACATGTGCACCTGTATTAGGACCATATAGTTAAAAAATTGACTGTTATAGTATTGACGTAATTAGTGGCGTAGAATATTCCCTTCCTTATACGCAGCAATTTGACTTTCAATTTATAGAAACTAGCTCATGTAGTTTTCCTGATATCACTCAGTTTCCTACTGAAGATTTGTCCTCATTCAATTTACCAAACAACTATATGTACAGATCAAAAGGAACTTCTTTAGAATTGTGAAGACAGCCATTGATACACAGCTCTGCTCTTTTTATCAGATTGTATTCTTTGTTCTACTTATCATATAGTATTTAATGGTATCGGTGGTAACCGATACCATTACACTCCGTTATAGAAATCGAAACTTTTTCACGCCTACAATGCCTTTGCTGAAGTCGATAAATCCTCACCATGCAAAATGAATTGGAGGATACTACAATTATTGTGTAACTGGAAAGGAGCCAAACCCATGTATATTTGTTCTTATATATCAATTTGTCATATTATGAACTAATTTAAATGTGTTCCAAAAAAAAAAAACTAATTTAAATGTGATGAGTTCTAGATCATAGTAAAACTCATTAGGAAGTATTAAAAAACTCCTGATTACATGATTTTACAGTTAAAGCATGAGTGCTGTTATGAATTAGGTAAGGCGAGAATGGAAAACTAAAATTTATGCCTCGTTTACCGTTTTGTTACATAACGTCTGCCACAGTTTATGTCCGTTACACTGTTATAGTTATCACTATTTACAACAATTATGACATGCTCTTGAATACTATATATTTCTTATTCTCAAAATACATTTGTCATTGGGTGCAAATTATTTTCTGCTTTACTGACAGAATTGTGAACTAGTACTCTAAACCCTAAATTTATCAGCAACAGATTTTCTTTTGGTCATTCAGTTGCTTTCTACATAAGGGCTGAGCTGTTTTTACACCCAAATAACCTCATAAGATTAACAACCAGCTAGTTAAATGGTGAATCAAAGTGATGCTGACCAGCTGGCCCTCCTGGTGAGACTCTTTCAGCATCGGCATTAAGAGACCTCCTTCGATAATTCTCGAATTCCAAGGGACTAAATCCCAACTTGCTCATAAGAAGGTGTTGGCTGCCAATATCCTTCTGCATGGCTCGAAGCCCCTGAAGAACACGAGCCTCAGAAGGGATGAGGAGACAGAAAATGGAGAACAGCAGAACAAGCAGTACCAATGCAGCAATTGATTTAGCCATGGAGTGAAAGAGGATTAACACAAGAATGCTTAAGTGTTTGACCTACCGGAGAGAATTTAGTGCTTGCATGGTAACATCTAGCCCTATTTATAGGATCCTCTTGGAAGAAAGAGAGGCCGGTGGTAGTGGAGAGAACATGTATGTTTGGATTTGCTCAAATAAACCGACAAAATTCCAGCTCGGACGGTTAGTGTGATTCATGGTTGTCTAGTATATCAAACAACTTTATAATTATTTTAATGAATCCTCCATTCCCATTAGCTTGCTTTTCAAGTTTCAAACTAGTGTTACAGAACCCTCTCACACACAATGTGTGTCCGTGTACATATATTTATATGTATAGACTTTCATTCTATGTGATCTATTGCTCATTTTGGCACCGCCATAGAGATTTTAAAATATAATAAATGACTTCATTGTAGAAGATGTCGATCAACTCATATCTCAAATTCTCCAAAATGCTTGGTCTTTTCTTGGATTACCGGAATAAGATCACTTTTCTCTTATGGAATTTCGAATGGGTCTCATCCCACATATGCTTTTTTCTTTTTTTCTTTCCGAAAAGTAAAGTGATTTCAATTGCTTGTAGTAATTCAATACGAACAATTTGAGCTAGGTATCATGCCCTTTCATATGTAGTAGGTCTTACATATTAACAGCAAAAAGAACGCAACAATATAACCTTCTAGGCCTAATAAAGTAGAACTAGTCATTACTCATGCTTAATGGCATTATATAACACATAAAAAAATCTCTAATAATTGTCCAACTTAAAAAAGAAAATGAGCCAAAAATATTCATACTAATTCTTTTAAAATAACCCGAAATATACTATCGATCATATCTTTCATATTAACAGAACTATCACAAAAACGTATAAAAAAAATCCCCAAAAGAACATCACATATACAAATACCTTAGGAAAAAAAAATACTAAGCGAATTTAATAAAATTTATAATTTTTAAGCAATAAATAAAATCTTGCTCATTTATAAGGGTTATGAATTTATCACCATTGTCACCATTCAACATAATAACACAACATAATTATAAACTTACGCACTTGTTATTTTTTTATTGGTGATTAACTTGGTTTTGAAATTTTTTTTTTTTGGTGCAGTTAGTATCACTTAATTTTTTTTTATTGATGATTAACTTGAATTTGAATTTTTTTTTTTGGGTTTATGGTGTAATTGGTTTCACTTTTTTTTTTTTTAATTTTTTTATTGGAGATTACTTCGCTTTGATTTTTTTTTTTTTTGGTGTTACTTGGTTTTGAATGCTTACAACTTAGAAAAAAATATTTTACCATTCAAATATTTTCTCATTCTATTAAATTACTCAAATATTTGTATTTCTTAATTTTTTTTATTGGTGATTAGCTTGAGAATATTTACAACTTGGAAAAAAAAAATTTATAGTTGGTTTTGAATATTTGTTTTGGTGCAATTGGTTTCACTTATTTTTTTTTTGTTAATTAGCTTGACTTTGAATTTTTTTTGTGCAATTGGTATTACTAATTATTTTTTTTATTGGTGATTAGCTTGGTTTTGAATTTTTTTTTTTTTAGTTTGATTTTGAATGTTTACAACCTAAAATTTTTTTTTAACATTTAAATATTCTCTCATCTATAAAATCAGACAACTGTTTGAGTAAAGAAGTATCAAAAATAGCAATAGCATATTTAACACATAACATTTAACAATAATAAAATCATGTCAAAACTACAAACTTTAAATAAATAATTATTGGAAATAATGATACACATAATTCACATTTAACACATAATATCCACTCACAAAAGTGAATAAATGAGATAGAGAGAGTGTCTCTAAAAAGAGATAGATTTATATAAGAGATGAGAGTGTGTGTGTTTGGGAGAGTGTTTAAAACGTCTAAAAGATAGGATATATATGTATGTAAATATAGAGTGTGCATTTAAAAGATATATGAGAGAGAGAGAGAGAGTTTGCTGTATGAGGCCGAGAGAGAAAGAGTTACATGAAAGATGTGAGACTTAGAGTTATAAAAAGAATGAAAGTTTAATTAAAATCGTCGGATCAATAATCCTCAAACGATCTAAATCACAAAAATTCAAGACAAACAATTTAGTTACTTTATTATATAAATTTTCAAAAAATTAGGCTCTGTTTGGTTTGCATTTCAAAAAATAGTATCCAAAAACAGTTTTTGAGAAAAATTTTAAGAAAGTAGTTTTGATATTTTTTGAAATAAAAAACTTGTTTGGTTAGATGATTTCAAAAATAATTTTACAATACATAATATATATATATATATATATATATATATATATATATATATATATATATATATAATAAAGTAACTTACAATTCAAATGTCAAAAGATAAACAAAATGACTTCTGCTATTCGCGGTTGAGATCACTTTAAATTTTACTTTAAAGTTAATCTAACAACTTATATTAACACCCTAAATTTAATAGCAAAATAAGACCCTAAGGGTGTGTGTTTAGAGTAAATTTTAACAAATTATTTCTCATAAATATATATTTTTTTAAATCTCAAACAATAAACAAAATGATTTTTGCTATTCGCGGTTGAGATCACTTTAAATTTTACTTTAAAGTTAATCTAATGACCAATATTAACACCCTAAATTTAATAGCAAAATAAGACCCTAAGGGTGTGTTTGGAGTGAATTTTTACAAATTATTTCTCATAAATATATATTTTTTAAATAATGTTTAAAACCGTCCCATCATTACCACTACCCCCCACCACCATCGTCGCTACCACCACTGTCGCTGTCCCTCACCACCACCACTATCGCCACCACCACCACCGCCACTATCGGTACCGCCGCCATCACCATCACCACTGCAGCCCTCGCTGTCACCACTACTACCACGGTCATTGCCACCCACCACAACCATCATCATCTTTTACCACTATCATTGTCGCTCACTACCTCTCACCCCCACTACAAATCGATATTTAAATTTTTTTATCTTTTATCTATATTTGTGATTTAATTTTGGATATAAATATAAATATGTTTATTGTTTACCAATTTTTATTACCCTGTGCTTTCAGGCATAGGCAATAACTAGTTTATATATATATATATATACTCATATCTGAATATCTAAAATTGTACTCCTTGTTTCCAAAATTTTCAAAAAAAACTCTAAAAACAAGATAAACTTGTATTTTGTTTCTTTGATTCAAATCTCATTTTTTTTCCCAAAATTTAGATAACAAAAATGTTAAACAAACAAATTATGGATGTTTTTGAAATTTTGAGAACAAAAAACTATTTTGTAGAAGCTAACCAAACACGGCCTTAATCTTTTTTGTTTCCCATCATGTTAGAACTGGAAAACTTATTTGGTCGACAAGATAAATTTCTGGAAGTCCTTATCATACCCATTGCACTTGATGCTGACTACTTAAATGCATACAACTTTTGACACACTTGTCATTCAGATATTTTCTTTTCTTCTCATTCGACAATTGATTTGAGGCAGCTGAGGTCCCGTCTAGTTTCAAACATCCATTGTGTGTTGTTCATTCACACTTCTGTGAATGATTTAAGTCACAAAAGTGGTGACATCCCATTGCACTAGTCGATTGCTTTCCTCAATTTTCGAGCGTTTACATATCTTTCACTTCAAAAGTTGTATTTCCTTAACCACAAAACAAGGGTAACCTTATTTGAGATATGATATCCAATCTCTAAAGTTGTGAGAGAATTTGGTGTTTTTTGCTTAGATCATATTGTTCTTGTTATTACAATAGTCAAGTGATTATCCACAAAGCCCTAGTTTATGTAATGGGCGTTCATGTCATGGGCATTTATGTCATGAGCCACTCTCTTATTGAGTTTTTTTGTATATCTTTTTTGTTCGAAATATTTTTTTTTAACTTACTGACAAAAAGGGAAATACATAAGATAATCATTAATATCTTACTCAAGTTTATCATTATCACTCGTTCTTTTTGGACCTATATGAATATTGATGGATCTTATTATATTTTTAACCAAACTATTTCTTCTCTCTTTGAACTTTATTGAGCAAGAAAGGGTTGGAAAATACAACATAAGCGCAATGAAAAAAACAAAAAAACCACTCCCAATGAGATGACATTGATGGTGTGAAAAGAACAAATGTTTGTCCACTAGCTGGAGAGTTGATGCAGAAGCAAGCGTGTAAAAACAAATGGGCTGGAGAGTTGATGCAGGCAAGCGTGTAAAAACAGGGATCTAATGAATGAGAAGGGGGTTGAGACGGAGAACGAAACCCAGGTTGTTGATTTGCGCATAAATACTGGTTCAGCATCTTACTCTAGATCTGTTGATGCACATATAATACCAATCCTAAATATTTCAATTAAAAAACCTACCAGAAAATTTAAAAAAAGAGAGAAAATCTTCTCTCTAATATTATTTCATCAAAAGTGGTTGAACACTATGGTTTAAAAGAGTTTATATAATAGTAGAAACCCTAAAACTAGCTAGAAAATATAAAAATGTGGCCTAAATATTAGTAATTACGATATTACGTTATTATTATAGATTTTTCAAAAAATGAAAATTTCAAACTAATCACATGACTAAAATTTACTAATCAAAACTGACGAGAATCAATTATTACTGCAAACATTGAAGTTATTCATCTATGAAAAGTTACCAAAAATGACATGAACGTGTTTTTCAGGCCTTAAACGAATGAATTTGCTCGTAATCTGCCCTAGGTCATCGCATAATGAGTTCATCTCACCTCATCAATTTTGACTAGACATGATTTCAAAATCCATGTATGTAGAAGTGACTCTAAAAAAGTCAACATATTTGACCGACCCGAACGACTTCTATGTCCATTCCAACAATTCAAATACTGAGTTGCGATTCGATTAGCATTAAGAACCCAACTGTTATCCCCCTTTAGCTCGTTGGCTCGGCTTTAACATGTGGTTGCCTCACCCAAAAGCGCTCATACTGTTGCAAAATTGGGTTGTGCTTTGGTGAAACAAATCCTTAGTGTAAAGTTGACTTCCTAAGGACTTGGATGTATACATGGTTGGAGGTTACAAAGTATTTTGGCAAAGGATCAAGTGGCATGCAATGACTATGCCCCTGACTCATGTTATGACTCTTCGGGTTAGAGTATATATGTTGTTGTCAATAGATTTTTGTTCACTAATGCTATTATAGTGGAGA